TTTTAAAAAGATGTATTTCCTACCTAGAAGACACCATGGTCTCTTGAGAAAGATTTATCATTTACTAATCATACATTATATAAGAAATAAAAATATGCATGTATTGCTTTATCTAGAATGCAGTTCTAAATGAACACTGATGAAACTTTATACTCAGATTTCTGCATCTTTCTTTGTCTTGTCCCAAGACCAAGGCATGTAAGCCAATTGATATATAAGCACCTATCCTCTTATCCAGTAAATAGGCCATAATTCAACACTCAAATAAGTGTTTTCCATCCTGGACCTTAACTGTAATATGGCCAGAGGTTAAAAAGATACTCAAGGTCAAACCTACTAAAATGTTTCTCCAAGGATGTGCTATGCACCTGGACAATTTTCTCAGTAATACACACTTGTCCAAAAAAAGAAGTTACACTGTGTGTTTCGATATGCTATAAAGAAATGTGTTTACTCTCTACTGTACCTTTAAAATCCTACTAGAAATTATTCTTAGATGTTTCTTAAAAATAAAAACTAAGGGGCCAGGGATTTAGCTCAGTGGTTCTGCCATCTGCCTCACAAGCACAAGGTCCAGAGTTTGATCCCCGTTACCAAACAAATAAATAAATAAAAACCAAGAAGTCAACCTGAAAAGGTACATACTTTTTGACTGCAACTTTATGATATCCTGGGAAAGTCAAAACAATGAAAATAGTAATAAAAAAAATCAGTGTTTTCTGGGGGCTAGGGAGGAAAGAAGGATGATAATAAGCTGTAATAGTAGACACCTGTCAGTATACATCTGTCAAAACCCATATAATGTACAACATTAAGAATGAGCCCTACATTAAGAATGAGTTAAGGACTTTGGGTAATAATGATACATCTATGTAGGTCCATAAAGTACAAGAAATGAACCACGGTCGTATGGGATATTGATAATAGGGAAAGCTAGATACAAAGCAGAGGATGTACATGGGAACTCTCTGCACTTTTCATTCAATTTTGATGTAAACCTAAAACACCATTAAAAGTCTTTTTAAAATAAATTTTTAAAATGTGACTCAATTATGGGCCAGTGCTGCACAATTAGTGTTTATTTTGCTTTGGGCAATGACAAAGAGTAGCAGACAAGTTTTCCAAGAGACCTGTTGCTATAGAAAAGCAGTATGTGGGCCAAAATGTCAAGCTTTTTTATCTACTCATTTCTCTCATCATCCACCAGTCCTTCTACTGACACCTCAGCCAGATAGCTTCTTCTCCCCTCTCTAGCAGGAACAAAAAGTTTTAGGCAGAATACAGTAGTTGGCAAAGTCTAGAAATCTTGACATAATTTAAGCTGTCTCTGTGAAAACAACGCCCAAAGGAACCTTATTCTCCTAGGCCTAATCCAAACACAAAGTTGTTTTAACAGATTAGACAAGAAACTTGAAGAAGAGTGGTAACAGAACCTGGGATCCCCAGACACCAGTCTGGGGCTCTCAGCAACAGCTCAGTCTTAGTTGATGTAGGAGTTGGAGGCCCCTGAGAGCCAATTAGTGAAAGAAGTCAGGGTTGAAGGAGTGAAAATGATTCCAGCAACTGACAATTAAAAGTGAGTGGATCCCACAGCACCAAAGGACAGTGACTTAAACTCTTGCATCAGCCAAGTTCTAGTATCATTTCCCTGAACAGGAGAGAGCAAAGGGAATGGGTAAAAAAAGGGAGGCAGAGACATCCCACACTCTGCCAAGATTCCACTTCCTATCCCAAGTGCATACATGCTTGACAATTAAAGTGCAAGTGGTATCTCTTGATTAGCCATATAGAAAAACCCCAACACACTTTGACTGCAATGAGACAGAAGATGCATACCCTTTAGTTAGCTAGAGGGCTGCCAACACAACAGCACTGCTACCAATTCAGAATCGCTCTGGTCATGCCAGATCATATGAAACTCATTGTCCTTCATGCTGAATAAACTTATATAACTACCCTCCTCTCTATCCCATACTTGTAAAACACCTACTTTCAAAGCATGTTCACAAACGCTACTTTGATCTCCACAAAATCAGTTTTTCCAGGTATATATTGGTGTTCCCATCTAGGAATTTAAAGATGTCCGTGTTGATGTTCAATATTTGCCTATGATCATAACAGCAGCATTATTTGTATATTTTAAGCAATATCCAATATAATCATATACACAGAATATCTCTGGAAGAAAACAAAATGGAATAGTTACTCCAGAAAGGGAAATAAGGACCAGGGGTGGAAATAAAGTTTTCTCTCTGTATACTTTTTTTAAACTTCTTGAAATGAAATGAAAAAGAAAGCTAAAATTAGGGAAGAGATAACCACATTCCAGTTCTCTTCCCCACTGTGCAATGCCATCGCCCATGTAAGGGAAGAAACCGGTGCAATTTTCTTTCTCCTGTATCTTTCCACTTATGCCCCACTCCATCAACCCATATACACATTAGTGCACAACCTTCTATGAAAATTCTCCCATATTTACCTAGGAAAGATCTCAGGATCCCTAGATGTCAGTTTGTGACTCTACATCACCTTTGCCTTGTACACTTTTAAATGAATCCATACAAGCCTGCTTTATGCAGATCTGCCAGGAGCTGAGAGTGTGCTGAAAAGCCAACCTATGAAAAAAAGTGAAAACATGATTCTGGTTTAGAGGCAGAATGATTCTAACACAATTTTCATTGGAAAAGTAAAAATAGCATCTTTGTCCAGATGTCTTAATAGTAAAATTAACATTTCACCATAAAGGATCAAGATTAGAGGACAAAGGCCTTCTTAGCTTAATCACTGTATTTCTTTCCTGACTCTTGTGACAGTCTTTTTAACTTTCCTATAGCTGAAATCTTCCTTTCTCCAATATGTTTACACATTCACTGTTTAACAACAATCATAATGATATTAAGCCAGTAATTAGCAGAATCAGAAAATCATAACTATTGTTCTGCCTCACCTGGTTTTTTGTTGTTTTTTGGTATTGTTTTTTGAGACCCAGGGTCTCACACATAGTAGGCAAGCCCTATCCCACCTAAGCTACATCTCTAGCCCCTGTAGGTGCTTATGTCAAAGATAAAACAGGACACTGAAGGACAAATTTTTAAATAATTGTTTATTGGTACATTTCAGGTATACATTATGATCACATTCATCATTGGGAATTTGTACCTACTCATGAGATACCCTAATTCTTATTTTTTAACAATTTCCCTTCCTTCCCTTCAGCTCCTCTTCCCCTCATTTACAAAAGCTTTGTTTCTATTTTTTCCCGCTTTCCTCATTTTTTTTTCCTTTCCCTTGTAGGGGAAAGGATGGTAGGGAAAGGAAAAAAGGACAAATTTTAATAAATAATGTATTGTAGCACTGGGAGAAAAGAATCCCGAATTGACTTGAACTTCTCTTTGTACAGAGATGACTGGGTGTTCTAGGCACTGAGTCAGGCAAGTGAAAAGGTCCAAAAAGCAGGCGGGTTGGTCCACATGAAAGCCATGTGGGTTTATAAACTGGAACTTAGCAAAATCAGGCTCCTACTCTCCATGGAGACTGGGAGACAGACCTTATCTTCAAGTGTTGGCTCAAACAAACAGGAAATTCCTTTGACGGCCTTCCATTTTCTCAGTCAGGCACTTTAAAAGAGAGACTAGGGATGTCCTAAGGAGGTAGCTCTGAGTGTTAGAAAGGATTTCAGTGTTTTGTTCAGATCTTTATAGGCCAAGGTTGCAGAAAGAGCTCAGAGAAGCTTGGTTAGAGTTTGGTCAAGAGGAGAATTTTTCTCACTTAGCTGAGTTTACTATATACAGCTGTAACATAGAGATATTACTACTGATCTCACAGGACTCTTATGAGGATTAAACAAAGAGCCCATGCCCAACACAAAGCGCAGGACAAGCGGAGAGAAGGCACTTCATTACTTTGGAATTACAACTGGAATTTGAACCCAAGCACACTATGTCTAGAGTTTATACTCTTTTCCTAATGCTAACCTGATCTTCTGATCTTCTACTGTTTCAGAAGGAGGCTATGCTGCCAACAGCTTCGTCCTTCTCAAACACAAGTCTGGTCATGTAATTTGTTTTAAAATCCTCAACAACTCTACAATTCCAGGAAGACACTCCTTCACATGGTTCACAGCCCCCAACTTTTGATTTGTTTATCTCTATTACTTCATTTCTGCCTTGTCTTCCAATTCTAATGCAAAGATCTCCTATTATATTCTTAGTATCTGGAAATTCCTATGCTCTTTCTTATCTCATTGCCTTTGCACAAGTGATTCTTTCTGCAGTGCTAATTACCCTTCAAGATTCAGTTCAAATATTTTCTTGAGCATGTCTGTTATGGGTTACCCAAGGTAGACTTCAATGGCTCTGTCCTTACACTCTCAGAGTACTTTATGACATTGCATTTTAATTGTCTATTTCCTGTAGGATGTGAGCTTTCTGAAAGAGTTTCTCACCTTTGAAGCTATAGTTCCTAGATTAGTATGCAACGAGTACTCAATAAATTTACATGGAAGTAATGAATGACCTTTTAAAAAGTATTTGTTGTTCTCATAGTAGTCCACTATTTCAGTCCATTGACCTAACAAGAAGAGCAACTACCAGAGCAGGAGACCCATTCCATAGGCTCTTCAAGGCAAAAGAATACTTTCAAAGTCATTACGACTCTGGATCAAGGTGTCAAAATCCCAAAATCATTACTATTCTGCATACAAGGTGTCAACATCCTCTATACTAGTTTATATACTGTTTTCCAAATCCACAACCTATCTAGCCAACAGATTGTTATTGCATCAGGCTGACAGAAGTATGTCACAATATCTATAACTCAAAGGTAAACATGAATTCATGTCTGTCCTTAAGAATTCAAATCATATAATGAAGAAATTATAATTCAATATAATTATACTATATAGAATGTACAAAATACTATATCATTTCTCAAATATTATCACCCCAAATTTTTTTAAGTTTTCTCAGTCTTAGATGCCCTCTTTTAGACTTCACATCAAATTTATAAGTAGGTAAGTATTTTATTAAGTACTCAGTCACAAATAGAAAAATGTAAATTTAAAACAATAATCATATTGTCTATCAAACATAAAAACCATACACAGCTCATGAAGAAACAGGCATTCATTGAAACACTCGAGAAGTATAAATCAATGTATCCTTTATGAAATGCAAATTAGCAACGTCTATCAAATTAATTTCACTTCATGAAATTAACCCAAAAGAAATGCTTCCAATGTATACAAAAAATTACAAGTGGGGACCAGGATATAGATCAGTGCCACTGAGCTGCCTGCGATGCACAAAGTCCTGAGTTCGACCCCCAGTACCATCAAAAAAAAAAAATTACATATGTTCATTGCATTATTCATAATTTTTAAAAACCAACAAAGAAAGAATGATTAAACTAAAGATGATATGTCCGTTAATTGGAGACTTATGTAGTCATTTTAAAATTATGTGGTAGACCTGTATTAACTGTCATGGAAAGATGGCCATCATATATAAAAAAAGAAATTCAGAAAAATTAATACAGAGCAACTGCTACAAAGTAACATTGTTGTATTTCTCCAAATCTAAAATGCCAAAGACAGAAACATCATTACTTTTGTGACTATTTAAAAGTGGGAAAAAGAAGATTGGGAGGGAGAAGGGATGGTAATGTAGGGAAAGTAAAAAGAATTAAGATATGTACATGTACCTGCTCCCCATGATGAATATAACAATTATGTACTGCAAACATCTACTAATAAAGATTAAAAATTTAAATTTTTTTAACTCCATAATTTAAATTGATAAGAATTTCATGGTTTTTGTGGAGGGTTGTTTGTTGTTTTGAAGGGTGTTTTTTTGGTTTTTTGTGACACGGTAGTTTAGGCTGGCCTTGAACTTGTAGGTGATCCTCCCGCCTCAGCCAAGTGAGTGCTGGGATCACAGGTCTGTGTCACCGTGCCCAGCCATAAATTGTTGAATTACAATCTGACATGTTAAAATTTGACAGAAAGGAATGGTTCTTTTGGTGAATTTAATATCAGCTTCCCTAAATATTTTCCAGACAAAAGAAACTCCCATGTATATAGAGCCAGGATTATGTATAGGATTTCCTGGAAGAACTGACATAGTTAGCAGTGAAAATGCTAATCAACAATGAAGTTATTCACAAGCTCTTTTCTCATTATACCACATGGAGGCCACAGAAATCATCTGCTTCCTAGCCAAATTTGGCAGCACCTTTATGAAAGCTCTTATTACTCAATTTATTCTATACTAGCAAATAAATTTCAAATGTAAAAGAGAGTAAGATCTAGAGCTTTATAAAGAATAAAGAAGTGGTGACCTCTTTGGGAACCTATTTTTTATTCATATTTTGAACTAGAAATGCTTTCAGTCTACCTAGATTAATACTCAACCCACCAAACCCGCCACTCCTCTGAGTGACCAGTTGTAGCAGAATTGTGAATGATATAGGCTCCACTGAGTGATAAAATATTAGAACTAAATGTAAAATTAAAGTAGCTATTTCCAGATACAGTGTCCTCAGTTACATTTCTAGCAGTCTTGAAAAAGAATTCACCTCTCCTAACACAGACAGTTCAGTTTTGGGAGCTTCAGCAATAATTTCTTTACTGAATTGAAATATCCATGTGCAACAGTATGGCAGACTTGTTATCATGAATGGTCCATTCAATTAAAACAACTAAAATGTTGTGTTAAAATACCCAAAAGACAACATTAAGCATGGAAGAGGATAGGGAGTCATCCATTCATAGCAGTGATTAATTAGATTGTGGAGAGGTACACAAAAGGCTTCCAAGCTATCAGTGATGTTCCAGTTTTTAAGACAGATGGACATTTCACGGGTATTCTAATTATTCTTTAAACTGTACATATTTACTTTGTATACTCACTTATTTGTACATATTGCTTCTGTCTAGTTACCATGTACTGTTCTTTCTTTCCCTACAAAGAACATGTCAAAGCATCTCAGGACTTCAGTAAAAGGGAAACAGTTATTGGGTCCCATCTCTCTACTGTCTCTAACACTCATTACCATTATTCTCCAGTTGCTTTGGGCCATCGCTCAAGATTTTATATGCCCACAAACTCCTGATCACTCTTCTATGATGATATTCCTCAAAATCAAGAGTGGAAACTGGATACAAGGCTCCCTGTGTGGTATGATGGACACAATATTAAATACTCTCTGGTTATCAGATTCCTCAGAGCAGTCCCCAAAAGTGTGTTTTTGCAATTATATCAAATTGGTTACTCATACTGGCTTTAACTTACCTGTGGCATATGATCTTAAAGATATACTTCAGAAAGTTAGCCTTTTTGGCCTGAAAGAATGGACTTCCAAATTTTTATCTTGTTAGATTCAGCCTTTATAATTTCTTTAGACAGAAAAATGTTTATTCTGTTATCCATTTTCTCAGCTCTCTGTCTTCTGCAGTCATTATAAATTTTCACCAGTGGTAATCAAGTCACTGAACAAGAGCTGAACAGGACCAGACCAAGGACAAAGACCTATGCTATATTCCTAAAAGAGCAAGTACTTAGAAGTTTTCCAAATATATCTATATATGCATTAACATTGGTATAGCCATTCAATTGGTTATTAAGCCTTGTTTACATTTCTTCATTTTCCACAAGAATATTGAGAAACTGTTATAAAATGCATCATTAGAACCTAAAGAAGCTGAACATCTAGCTATCTCTGGTCTTTTGGGCATAGGAACACAATTAGGATAGCATTGATGTGTCATCTTGGACTATGGGGTGGATCACCACTAGGAATGACAAACAAGAAAATGGAAAGAAACTGGTCTTCAGCAAATTTCTGAAGCTATCATTCCTGTTCTGAGCTGTCTACTTCCAGAAAAAAACTATATAAAGACCAAAGGGGAGAGATTACTCCAATAGACTGAAGAGATCCTAAAAGCAAGAATCCAAGCCTGGAGAAAATAAAGCAGACCAAACTATAGGGTATTTTTTTTTCCAAAAAAATTTAATTCCGTTCCAACCCCAAAGAAGGGCAAGAACTTAAATTTTTAAAATAAAAATAGCTCCAAAATCAAGCCATTAAAAAGTAAAGCCCCTTTCCTTAGCAATAAATACTGAACTGATATATACATATTAGACTCAGGAAAGAGGCAAGAGCAGGAATCCTGGGGATTTTTTCCCATGGCAAGATCCCAACATTTCCACCAATGCTAGACTCTGCTTAAAACAGACAGCAGTCAAAGAGGCAACAGAGATACACCAGGGGAGTGTGTGGCCCTGGAGGGATCTGGACCATGACAGGGAAGAATTAAGAGACACAAAGGATCTTCCAGGTCAAGGGATGATGGGAAAGTCTCCACTTAAAATACACCCTCCACCAATCCCAGTGGAGTCACTGGATGTGGTTGATCCAGTGGCCAAGTGCCTTGAGCTAATCTCCCCGCCACCACTCTCTCTGTAGCATGCAAGTCAGGAAAGATCATTCACACTGTGGTCGTGATGCCACTGTGGCAGCAGCCTGACTGCTAGAGCCCTGAGGCTTTCCATTCACCACTAGCAGGAGGGGCGTCTCGACACGAACACTGGAAAAGGAATAGTCCTGAAAGAAAAGAGAAAGAAGTTCATCACCAATCCTAAGATGGAAAAAACTCCAGCATGGGATAAACCACCTGCCACATTCTCCCCACCCTGTCCGGTATACACTCCTTACCTCTCTCTCACATTAGATAAAACTTGAGCTGTTTTCTACATTTAGAAAGAAAACACAAGGCAAGTAGAGTACTAGCAGTGTAACTACATGAACAAGACAGTTCTCTGATTTAACAAAGGGAAACTCCTTACACTGCCTGACAAAAGAATGCCACCAGCTCTCACAGTATCTGCCCTTCCCCACAATGTTTCTAGACAATTAGCCAGACAACACAGCAAACAACAACAGCCAGAGGAATTCTGAAAAACTGTTAGTCCAGGAATTTCTGAGGCCCTAAATTAATCTGCCAACTACAAGTTGAAGTGACTTCCCTTTAAAAAAAAAAGCTAGAGCCGGTGATTTAGCTCAGTGGTTCCAGCCCCTGCCTCGCAAGCGCAAGGTCCTGAGTTTGATCCCCAATACAAAAAAAAAAAAACCACCAAAAAAATAATAATAATAAAAATTTAAAAAAATAAAGTTACTTCCCTTTTATATCAAGAAGAAATAAAATCTATAACAGAAAAGATATCAGTGACATATTAGCTTACTTCCTAGTGCAAATGTATTTTTTAAATAGATTTTAATACTTGGTGAAAATGTTCAACCAAGAACTACTTTTTAGCCATGGCATGTGACATTCAGGAGGCTGAGATAGGAGAATCATGAGTACAAAGCCAATCTGAACTACACAGGAAATTCAAGGCTAGCATGGACTACATCACAACACCCTGCCTCAAAAAATGAAAAATGTATACATATGCATTAAACGTATATTAAATATGTGTATGTATATTACACATGTATATTCTTCCACTAGTAGTGTGAATCCAGCTCTTTAAAAGTCCAAGGAAAATAAGTTAAAAAGTTCTCATAAATCAATTTTTTAAAAAGATATAACAGGAATACGGCAAGTGACAAAAAATGATTTATAGACGAAATAGTAAATAAACAGATAATAAAGTATTCAGCCTCACAAATAATCAAAAAACCAAATAACACCAGTATTGAGACTATATTTTTCATGTAAAACCTGCAAGTA